AACTGAAAAGATTCTTTCTTACTCAGCGCTTGAATTGGTTAACGTAAGAAAATTTTCGAAATTGTCCTTATACTTTTTAACAATTATATACCATTTCACTCCACATCACATCTTCAGAACGATTAATTACGTAAGAATGTCGAATATTCTTGAATTTTGATCAATTATGCAACAATAACTGCGTCAAAAGAAAATCCCTTATTTATATGAAGTGTCCCTTTTTTCCCTTTTAATAATTTTTGATGCAAAATATCCCTCAAATAGGGAAATTACCCACAATCTGGCATCACTGGTTTTATTGAGACGAAAACGAACGGCAAAGCAAAAAAATCGATGACAGGCCTTTCATTCGGTCCTATGACATTACGGCCATCGTCAGCCATATTACTGATACGCTGACGATAGTCGACGATGACGAGGACGATATTCAGCATTGAAATTTGGTCCCGTGCCCATCTCTAATTTCTTATATTTTTTTATTAAGATCATAAGTACGAAATAACTTTTTCCAAAATTTTCCTATTTTCTGTGCAATATTTCTAATTTCTCTTTCCGTATGGACCTGGATATGGTCGAAATATTAAAAAAAAATTTACGGAATCGGTACTTCTTAAGTTATTAAAAGCTTTCCCCGAAGGTAAATGTTAATATTTATCTGAACAAAATTGTATCCTTTCGAGACCAACACTATTTCACATCAGAGAGTTATTTCATGTCCACGCTAAGAAAGATCTCAATTGATATGAATTTACAAGCAAACTTCCAACCTATTTTGAAACTCTTCAATTTGCCCCCAACCTTTATACATACATTCATACATATGTATGTCCATTAGCGTGCATCACCAAAAAAAATTTGCGGTATTTCAAACAATTTATTATAACTATTTTAAGAGTTCTGCCAAAATATTCCGGAAAAATATTAAGATTTATTAAAGTCCTTGGTTGTATATAAGAAAAGATTTAATATTCCAGAAAATGTACACGTTTGGTTTGAATAAAAGTTTTCAAGTGAGAAAAAATATGACAATATTCTAAAATTACAAATACAGAGATTGCTTAGATTGTTTAAATAAAACAAAACTCAACACCCCTTCTCAATCTCTCAACCCTAATTTGTTACTAAGCATCTTAAATCGAGTTGCATCTAAAGCCTTGGTAAATATATCTGCAAGTTGATCTTCTGTGTTGATTGGTGTCAATTTGATTATACCCTTTGCAATATTATCTCTTATGAAGTGATGTTTAATATCAATATGTTTTGCTCTTTTTGATTCCAAAG